TAATCCGAGCAGCATTATCCAATTGTAATCTCCACATTTGTAAAAGAATTCCCTTTGGATTTGCCACGGGGCTCGCCAAACAATGTCATTGCTTTGCAGATTTCGAAAGGCATTAATCCACATATCTTTCTTAATTTCTTTCGGCCATTCATGCTCCAGAAATTCTTTTAATGGTGAGTAATCCGTATTAAAGCGTCGGTATGAAACCTTTTCTGTCCTCCAGAAATGACTACGGATCCAAACATATAACAATTGGGTACACCCTGAGAATCGTCCACCTCCTAGCTTTCTACAAGCATTTAACGATCTGAAGGTCTCTGCTAGGATTGCAGAAGCAGGATTAATCTTTTTCGGTAGCTGTTCAAACAAATCTACCACTGCAGCTTCAACATATCCCAATACTTTTGGGAAGATGACCATACCATACATACCCAGAGCAAATAAATCGAATCGTACTTTAATATCTGGATGGCTCTGAATAAGTTCTTTAATGTTGGTCCAAGCAATGCCTTCGCTTTCGCCTTTTTGTTTTGTACGGGATGCCACCCATTCTTCTCGTACCCCGGCAATCTTTGCTAATTTAACTCGAAAGGGTTGAGTTTTAATTGACTTTGAATAGATTCGATTCTCCAAAGCCCCTTCGATATGTAACAAAGTTGTGTACTCTTCAATAGTAGGGACCAAGTCCTCTTTATTGAGAGTGAAGCAATTGTACCCTGGATTCCAGAATTGAATTAGGGCTCTGAGTAATTCATCATCAACTTCAACATAGAGCAAATATGGGATGTCTCCGTAAGTCTGATAAAACTGCAATTTTTTATTTGAATCCCAACTTTCCCAAATACTTCGCAAATCTTGCATATTATTTCTTTTTAGTGAAACTGGAGCATAACTGGCCAAGTCAGATACATAATCATCCTGCAGACTGTCTCCTTCTTGTCTTTGTAAGTCCTCAGCCCACTGTCTTACTTCTGAGTTTAGAATTACTTGATTTGAACACTTTTTATCCATGGATGAAGGCTTTCCAATGAGACAATTAACACAAGGATCAATGCCTTTTATCCTGTATGATGCTATGCAAACAGAAAAAATAAAGAACACACAAAAAGAAATGAATTAGTTTACATAATAAAGAAATTTAATAATAACATTTACCTAAATATTTTTATTTAAACATGCTTTTTCTAAATTTAAATAATTCAAATATACATGTAATTTAATCAGTAAAGAAAATAAATAAATTAACAGGAAAGTTAGAATTCATTTCTCCTGTGTGTACACCTATTTTGGACAAAATTTTGGCATGACTTCAGATCGGAAGAGTTTCTAGGGTTTTTTATATGCAGGGTTTCAGATCTAAGAATAAAGGTACCCGAATTGTCCTTGTTATTGCCCCTTGGGTTGATAACCCTCAACCCTAGTCCATTACAGACTAAAGTGGATCGAGTTCAATTCGAGGGGATACATTTCTCTATGCCTGACACGGAGAATAAATTCTCACGAAGACATAGAGCATATGAACCCCAAAAGTTACTTGCTAGGTCTGACACGGAGAATAAATTCTCACGAAGACGTCGCTTTCACTCCCACTTAAAAGGGACAAACTCAATTATAGAGCTTTATGTTATGCAATGCAAGTGTTGTGTGTGAGGAGAAATGTTCAAACCTTTGACAGAAAAATAAATAATGAAATAAAATACTTGTAAATAAAATGAAATATTAATAATATATATAAATACTATAAAAATAATATGTATATATATATATATAAAATTATAAATTAAATATATGAAATTTTAATTTATAATTAATAGAGACAATTTATAATTGATTTTTAAAAGTTTGACCAGGTCCCCAGCGGAGTCGCCAAGCTGTCGTAACCGGTTTTCGTCCGGGCACGAAATATTTATTTGGCGGGAAAATTGATGTGAATAAATGGTTTTTGAAAATAATTTGGGAGTCGCCATCGGCCTTTTGGGTCAGGTAGGTCGAATACCTAAAAATTATTATTTTATTTTTTTAAAAGAGTTTTAAGAAAACATCAATTAAAAAAAATGAACTGATCTACGTTTATAACCAAAAATTCGTTCTTTTTAATAATAAAAAGGGATTCGTGGTCGGTTACGTTTAGGGAAGGATTAGCACCCCTACAACGCCCAAAATTGGTACTTTTTAATTATAAATTGTCTCTATTATTAAAATTTAAAATATATTTAATTTATAATCTTATTATTTCAAAATTATATAAAAAATATTTTAAAATATCGGAAAAGGACTTCTAGGTGTCTTAAGACAGCTCTTTTCTTTGATATTAATAAATATTAATTTGAATAAAATTAAATAATAATTTTTTATAATATTTAATTTTAAAATATCAGAATAGGACATCCAGTTGTATTAAGACTGCCCTTTTCTTCGATATTGAAAAATAAATGTTAAAAATAATTTATTTAAAAAATAAATATTTATTTATTATATATATATTTATGACTACATAATAATAATAAAAATATTTAGACATGTAAAATTAAAATAATAAATACAATTAGAACTATGTATTTAAAAGCAATAAAAGAAATAAAAAAACATTTAAAATAAGTGACTAAATTATAGTAAAATTAAAATTAAAAACCTAATTCATAATTAATCAAAATTATAGGGATTAAACATGCTATTTTTTTATTTTATTAATTTAGTGACTGAAATAAAACTATATAAAATTCGGATATTATATTAAAATAAATAAAAAATATAAACTCGGGATTAAAATATTAATTATTAAAATTATAGGACTAAATCTGTTATTTATCCTATATATATTATTTTAATATAAAGGACTAAAACAAATAAAAATGAAATTAAAGAACCGAATTAAAAAGATTATAAACTTGATTTAGTGACTAAAATGTAAAAATTACAAGTTGGAATGGCTTCGGACGGGGTTTACCCTTTATGAAATTACAGAAATACCCTCCCCAAAACGACGTCGTTTGGGAGAGGGTATTAATACCCAAAACTGGCTGGCCCTACGGGCCAGCTTCTCATTTCTTCATTTCTGTTCTCTCTCTAACAGAGAGAGAACAAATTTCTCTCTGGCTTCTCTCTAGCTTCCCTCATCGGAGGGAAGCCGGTCACCGGACGGCAACCGTCTGCCGCCGTGACCCTCACCGCTGGCCACCGCATCCGGTGGCCGGAAAATTTTATTTTTACACTATTAGATAGATCGGACCGTCCTAAGGACGGTTCCGGTGTTCCTTTCTCCTAAATAGCTTCTGATCGAAGCGAATCTAAAGAAGTACCTTCGGTTTCCAAAGGTTTTGGTGACGTTTGAAGGGGTCCGGTGGCTTCCTCGGTAAGCTCCTTTCTTTTCTTTTCCTTTCTGTTTTGGTTTTTGCTGGTTGTGGGACGTTTGCTCTCTATTTTCTGTCTCTCTCTGTCTCTGTGTGTTCTCTCCTTTGCAGGTTGGGTGATGGCTTTATAGCCATCACCGGCACTCGTCTCAGACCGGTCCGAAGAGCGGATTTCGGTGAGTCACCGAACTATGTGGTGACTCACTGCTAGAGTAGCAACGTGGGTGACCATCTGGGTCTTCTGGAGGCTTCGATGGAGGCGTGGCACTGGCAGCAGAGGCGGCTGGAAGCTGGACCGTTGGCTGAGGCGGCTGCGGCGCTAGGGTTAGAAACCCTAGCTGAAACCCTAAATGTTTAGGGTTTCAGTTTGGTTTGGGCCGGAAATTTTTTTTTATTTATATATATATTTAATATATTTAATAATAATAATAATAATAATAATAATATTTATAATAATAATAATAATAATTATAATAATAATAATAATAAATAAATCAATATGGGTAAAAAAATTAGTATCTTCACTTTCCATTTCTCTTTCTGTTTTGTTTTGTTTTGTTCTTTCCCCAGTTTATATCTTCAACTATCAATTAAGAATGTGAAACTTGACAATCATTTTGCATTATAAATTGACAACAAATCATTCCCTTTGTTTATGATCGAACTCCTCAACACAGCATTCATGGTTTATGATGAGCATAAATGGAAGTGTGAATGGCCTGATGAGAGGGAACAGCTTTGCCATTCACAAGCACTTGCTCCAAGAAATCGACTAAAACACATTTTGTTGATGAGCCAATGACTAAAACACAGTAGAAGGATCAGGTCGCTTAAAATTATCAGCACCAATTGTTGATGAAGCAAGTCTTTTTGCCTAGCATGTCCCTGTATGCACACATTTTGCAGGCTGAGGAAAGTGAAACATGCTCATGATCAAGCCAGAAACAATTCCCAAATAAGAGCAACCACAGTGCTTGACAGATGATAATATAGTTCTCCATTTTAACACTATTCATTTTCTTCGTCTTGATATCCTCCCCCATTTCTTCAATTTTCATCAATACTGTTTATCTTTTGCATCACTCAATAATGTTCATATCAATGAAGACATTACCGTTAGATATTTTTCTAATTATTATTGCCATTAAATACTTCAATTGTATTTACAATAGGTGAAAATGGTTTTTTGTTCTCTACAGTAGATCCTCTTAAAACATTTGATGAGAAATCAGCATTACAAAATCTGTGTTTAGCATTTAAATGAATAATTTTGGATATGCAGCGAGTCGTGTCATAATCGGAAGAAATTATTTTATGAACCATTTCCACCACATCAATCTTTTTTCCCACATCATTTGTATACAAAAGTTTTATTTTTCAAATCAGATTCATCATTAATGAATATCAAAATTAAATCTAAATTTAAAGATTATTTTTAGTATCTTTATTTATATATTTTCTTATCCACCAACACATCAAAGCACTAGATACCGGACCAAGAAAAATGCGGCACGATGTTACGAAAAATATGTATCCGGATTGGCTCGAAATCTGCATTTTGAGTCCATTAGCTTTACCTTTTGACGAGTATGTATAAATTATTTGCTCAATGTTAAATATAGTGTCGAGCACAATCCAGAAAGTACTGCTTGTACTGTTCTTGCTACCAAAAGCTGCTTTGTTCCATAGATGTTATTAGAATATCTCTGACCCAATATATGAATTTCCTTGAATCGAGGGTTGGCATAACAAGCATTGTTTTCCTCTTCAACATTTATGAGCTGAAGATCTTTTTTAGTATCGTCTCTGTCACTCTCTCCGGTGTATACGACCAAGGCTTCTGTCACATCGATGGCAAACTCCAGGACATTAACATGACAAGGAATGGAATGACCTGTAAATCAGAGACGTTGCTCGAGGAGATATAGGGGTCGGTGATAAACAGTTTCATTTGATAACAGCAAAGTTCGATCGAACAGCTCAAGAATTGGAACTCAAGTTTATGGACGGTTAAAACAATTGTCTTGCCTTGTTTTCTTAGCCATAGATTTTGACAACGGTGCTACATGAAGGGCAGATGTCGACTCTAATCCGGATGTCGGTTCATCAAGTAAAAGAACAATCGGGTCATGAACTAGATCGACCCCGATCGATACTCTGTAACTCTTCTCCCCACCGGAAATCCCACGATTTGATTCATCTCCAATTCGAACATTGGCAACATGCTGTAATCCAAGCTCTTGGAGTAACTCTTTTATTCTGATTGCGGCCTAGCCGTGGCCATTGTGCAACCTGAGACGAGTGACGTTGTTCATGAGAGTTTCTTGGACGATTAGAAGAGGGAAAAGAAACTCATCGTGTAACATAACCTGATACCCATCGAAAGTGGCCATGATCTAGTGCTTTGTTATTTATAAGAACATGCTTTAATCCAGGATCATTCCATCTAGAACTTTCAACAATGTTGTCTTGACAGCCCCACTGCGACCAACAATTACCAGGATTATCCAGGTCTAGCTTCACAGTTCACGTTTTCCAGGATCTAGTGCTTTGATGTGTTGGTGGAGAAGAAATAATATTAATAAATACCCTAAAAATAATCCTTAAATTTAGATTTAATTTTGATATGTATTAATGAAGAATCTGATTTGGAAAATAAAATCTTTGTATACAAATGATGTGGAAAAAAATTGTCATGGATTTTTTTAATTAGTTGAGACCATTAATAACGTGGTGGAAAGGATTTATGAAATAATTTCTCTATTATCGGTATGATTGATCCACATGTATAGAAGTATTTTTATTTGGGATGTTTGATTTTCTTATTTACTTGATAAGCGTAGGGATGTATATTTCACCCAAATTTGATGGATTTTGACTCAATTAAATTTAAGTTAATTAGTTTTTAAAAATAAAAGAAACAATGTTTTCGAGTATTTTTTAAGGGACTTGCATGAAAAAACGCAATTTCAACTTAACCATAACAAAGTACTGATTAAAAGGTGACAGATCAGATTAAACAAGACCAAACTTGAAGCAGGATAAAGCAAAAAAAAAAAAAAAAAAAAACTTTGTTAATGCACAACCGTTTTGATTTGGTATAAGACAGTCCTTCTCTTATGTTATGGGTATGCATGTGCGTGCTAATAATGATGTGGTACGAGATTTAAATTTTACTAAATACATATTTATAAATGAATAATGATCCATTCATACTTTTATTTCTTAAAGTATTTATGATATTTAATTTAATATTATTTTATTAAAATATCAAGTACATGCAATTAGTTATATTGTTTATTATTTATGTTATAATATTATTTATTATTATAAATTAAATTTATACGTCGATTAAAAAATATATGATATATATGAATTTTTATATATTAAAAACTAAAAAAATAAATCGAATCGAATTGGGTAACCGAGATTGAACAAAAACTTAAGTTTAGTGATGATTTTGAGAAGAAAAATTTTGGGGGACCAAACCAAAACCACATCAATAGTTCAGTGACTAAAAATGTAATTTAACATTGTGTTTTTTAACAGAGTTAAAAGTTTAGGGCAAATGATGTAACGATTTAAACTTCATGGGGGCAAAACTTCCCGAAAAATACGTTAAAGGGCAACTCGGAACAAATGGCCTATTTTAGGGGGCAATGATACATTATAACCTTTATTTTAATATTTTTAAGGTAAAAAGGTCATCTTTACCCCTGTAATAGACCCAAATTATCATTTTCGCATAAATTTAGCCTCCAAAGTTGTATAATTACATCATTCTATACTTACCCCTAACTTAAAACCCTAAATTGATAACCCTAAACCCTACACCATTACCCTATAACTTTTAATCTTAAACCTTAAACCTTAATCTCTAACTTAAAACCCTTAATTAGGGTTTTAAGTATTAAGGGTTTTAAGTGAGGGGTATTTTTAAATTAGATCCTTATTCTATATAATAAAAATGAATTATATATATATATGTCACGTTAGATGAAACTCTCTTAAACTCAAGTCTAATAGAATATAATGAAAGAACTTAATTTTTAAATTAAATTTGAGTGAGTAAATTTTGATTTCACTCATGATCATCTCTAAATATTTTGCCACTTATAATTCTGACCGTTGAGTTTCATAGGGAAAAATAAGTAAAGAGAAGAAAAAGAAGAAAGAGGAAACTGTTTAAAAAAAGTAATAAATAATAAAAATAAGGAAGGAAATAAATAAATTATTGGAAGAATTTTTTTTAATAGTATAGAGTGATTATAAAATAACGGGGGTGTTTGGTAAACAATTTTTTGAAGAATTTTTAACTTATTTGAGCATAAATAGTTGATTAGTAGTCAAACCCTTTATTTTTAGTGTTTGATAAACACATTTTTAAAAAAGTTGATTGTACAAAATAAGTTGAAAACGAATATGCTATAAAATCCAGCGATTTGAGAGAATTAATTGTAAAATAAGAGCATAAATAGTTGATTAGTAGTCAAACCCTTTATTTTTAGTGTTTGATAAACACATTTTTAAAAGAGTTGATTGTACAAAATAAGTTGAAAACGAATATGCTATAAAATCCAGCGATTTGAGAGAATTAATTGTAAAATAAGATGTTAAATAACATATTTGACCTTATTATTTTTATAATTACATCCTTGCCACAAATCCTCATTATTTTCATCCTAATCCACTTGATTCTCTCATCAGAGTCTTACTTATCGTCAAATTACAAACATCAAACAACCAAACCATGGAGATTCTTTTGCAAGATAATTTCACCCATTAAGGTTAGTTCTTTTCTTCTATGCTTTTAATGAGTTTTGCTTGTTCTTCCTTGTATATTTTTACCCAAAAATTCAATTAACTGAAGTGGTTTACACAAAAAAAAAATCTATTTCTGAAAACAAATGTGAATTGTTTCTTTTTTCGTCATTTCTTTGTGGGTATTTCATCAATTCCATATATTTGAACTTTTGGTCTTTATAAATATAACTTCTTTTCTTTGTAGTTGATTTTTTCCTCCAGTTAAATAATTTCCTCCATTTATTTAACTTTGTTTTGTTAAATTCAACACTTGGTTATTTCCTCTGTAAATGATCTTGTTATTTATAATTATTTGACACCCATATATGCCTCCTATTATTTATCAATTTTTTATTTGATGATGTGATTTTGTATATGAAATATTTGCATAACAACATAATAGAATTACTCCTAGTTGAGATTACAAATTAAGATTTAAGTTTAATTTTCAATCTCTATTACTTGTTCAAATGCTTGTTTTGATGCTATGTGTATCACATCATTGTATTGTCATTGTCTCTAACATGTACACCAAATTTTATTTTCTTGTCTCATGTAGAACTAATGACATTACGTTATGTGTTGTTTGATATGCATTATTATAAGTAATAATGGATTGAAATATTATCCGAGCATAATGATTATTAGAAATGTTAGTGTTTTTGTTTCAAATTTTGTGATTTGTGTATTCAATATGCTTAAAGAAGCAAGGGAAAAAGTGGTGTTACGATCTCACAAAGAGTGCCATGGAAGATGACAGAATTGCAATTTCAGAAAAGGACGGACTTAGCATATGAGAAGACCAAGCTTAAAAACAAGTGGGATTGGATAAAGAATAGATGGAGTCTTTAGAAAGCCTTGAAAGGAAAGGAAATGGGATTAGGTTGGGATCAAGAAAATGGAACAATAAGTGCTAGTGAGGAGTGGTGGACGAAGAAAATTGAGGTTAGCATATTTATCTACATTTGCTTAAATTCTTAGAATTGATTTTATTTATTTTTCTTTATAGGAAAATACACATTTCAAAGCATTTCAAGATGAGGGGATTGAACCCGAACTGAAATATAAGATGGAACAAATGTTGGGGTTTCAGTTGCACAAGGGGTTCTTAAGTTTATTCTTGTTGAGCATGAAAAGGAAATAATATAGAGAAAATAACCTCAGTGACCAAAAATGCCTTATAATATACGATTTTAACCAACTTTTTTTAGATTTGCCAAAATGACCAACTAAATCGCAATGCGATCGATAATTCGCAACGCGATCTCCGGTATCGCAAATCAGTTTCCAGATTCGCAACGCGATTCTGACTATCGCATTGCGATTTCCCAAATTCGCGTTGTGATTTTCCTAAATCGCAACGCTATTACGTAAATAGCAACGAGATACTGACTATCGCAATACTGAATTTCAAATTCGCAACTCGATTTCTGAATTCGCAACAGGTTTTAATTTCGCAACACAAATGTTTTGGGTATATAACTACGCATCAGTAACAACTCATAACCTAAATCCCTAAATCGCAACTCATTCCATCTCCATCTATCACTCTCTCCGGCGACATCCGTTCCTATATCCAACGACATCCTTCCCCATCCGGCAACAAGTTTTAGTTTCGCAGCTCGTTTGTTTAGTAAATTAATTTACAATAATGAAATCATCTAATGTTGATCATGTTTGGATAGATTTGTGTTTTGGAGGGTCATGGGAGAATGTTCAAGGTGTTTTACAATATATGCCTTTACCCATGAATCTTCAACTAAAACTTTCATTAAAAAAGTTAACTTATGAAACTCTAATGTTACGTGTTGCAAATAAATTGAATTTAGAGCCCCTAACTGGATTTAGGCTATCTTATCAGAGAAATGGTAAAGTTTATTTGTTAACCGACAATGAAGATGTTGAACGATTCATTGCTTACATTAGTGTTTCAAGTGATGATGTTACATTGTATGTTGTTGAACCTAGAAGTAGTGAAGTTGGGTCAGTAGCGGGTAGTAATCAACTAAGTTTTTCAACCCCAGTTTATGGTGCTCAAAATTTAATGGTTCCACCACAATTTCATCACCAAGAAAATATTGTTTCACCACATTTCCAATACCAAACACAATCTCAAAACCCACAACCTTTCCCTAATCCAAATCCCAATCAACTTTCAGCACCAAATTCCGGTTTTCGTATTGACCAGTTAGACGATGATGAGCCAACAGAAAAAATTGTGAGTACTAATAAGTATTCGAAATTTGATCTTGGTCAATACCCGGACTTTGATCTTGGTCAATACTCGGATTTTGATGATTTTTCAGAAGAAGAAACAGACCCTGCGTGTAATGATTTTGATATTGGTCAATACCCGAATTTTGATGATGAAACAGCCGTTGTCGAGGAAGATGTTGTTGATGATAATGAAGAGGAAGTTACGACTGTAAATGAACATGTTGAACATCCATTCTGTAATTCATATAACACTGAAGAAGAAAAAGAAGAAGAAGAAATCCCAAAGAAAATGCCACGTGAGTATAACTGGAATATGCCAGAATTACTTCAGATACCGGAAGAAGAGTTGGTAAAGATAGCAGTTGATTGTTACACAAAAATTATTCGTATCAAGAAAGATGATTGTTTTGATACAAAGGAAGACTTGAAGATAGCTTTGTATACGAAATGTGTGGAAGATGGCTATCAACTAAAAGTTAACAAATCAAGCAAAGATCGTTTCGAAACAAGGTGTATGATTGACAAAAACTGTATGTGGCGTATGATTGCAAAGAGGATAAAAGATTGCGAAATGTTTCAAGTTAGGACTTTTATTGATAAACATACATGTTCAAGAACCCAAGTTTTTCCTCACCATAGACAGGCAAACAAAAAGGTGTTGGGTGGTTTTCTGGCTGAGTTAATGTTTTTGAATGGTAGGGTATATCGGGGACATGAAATTATGGCTGACATGAATGCTCAGTTCAAGATTAGTATCTCATATTCTCAAGCTTGGAGAGACAAATGTTATGCCTTGGAATTTTTGAGGGGGTCGCCAGAAGCATCGTTTGCCCAACTGCCGGCTTATTGTCACAATTTAAAGCTGAAAAATCCTGGGTCGGTAACTCATATCAAAACAGATAGAGATGGACGCTTTGAGTTGTTGTTTATCGCCATTGGTGCTGCGGTTAGTAAATCAATATAATTTTGTTGACTCGTTTTTGTTAGTTACATGCATTTCACATTTAAATGATTATATTTCTTGTGTATATGATTTTGTAGATTCGTTCGTTTATTAATTGCATGTGCCCAGTTATTATAGTTGACGGAGCACATTTAAAAGGTCGATACCTTGGAGTAAACTTATTAGCAGTAGCTATGGATGCTAACAATGGGATACTGCCAATAGCTTACGGGGTTGGCAAATCTGAAACCTCTGATTCATGGACATGGTTTATGGGGCATCTTAGGGATTGCATAGGTCCTATTAGCAATCTGACAATCATATCCGATAGGGCAAACTCAATTGACAACGCTGTTAGAAGGTGTTTCCCAGATGCTTTTCATGGACTTTGTAGTGTTCATTTGTATAGAAATCTAAAATCAAGGTCTGCTGGTATAAAAAATACAAATGGACATACTGGAAGGCTGTAAAAGCTTATCGGGAAGTGGATTTCAATAAGCATATAAACTGTTTAAGACGTGTTTTGCCTCAGTGTGCTCAAACACTAGAAGATGTCGGGTTTGAAAGATGGTCAAGAGTACATCAACTTGGAGCAAGATATGGTTTCATGACGTCTAATAGTGCAGAATCAATCAACGCTCTAAGTCGTCATTCCCGGAAATTACCCATTACTATGTTAATGGAGTTTTTTCGAGCCTCTATTCAACAGTGGTACTACAAGAAAAGAAACCATGCAGGTATTATTTCTTTAAATTCGTAACTTATCATATATTTTACTAAGTATTATTTATTTAAATTTACAGGAACATTGGAACATCGTGTTACACCATGGACAGAAAAAAAGATAACGAAACGTGTTGTGAAGTCAACGTCATGGAGAGTTGAACCATGTTCAAACACTTTGTTTGAAGTACTGGATAATAACTTAAATGGGCTTGTCGATCTAAATGCAAGGACGTGTAGTTGTATGAAATGGCAAACATCTGGTTATCCGTGTGGCCATGTTATAAAAGTTGCTCTTCATCTAAACCAAGATGATTCAAGCGCATACGCTATGGATTGCTACACTACAGAAGTATATCGACAGACTTATGCCGAGATTGTATACCTTATTCCACATCCTTCTGAGTGGGACATACTAGATGACTTACAAACAGTTTTGCCACCAGCCATGGACAGAAGGCTACCTGGCCGACCAAAAAGTCATGATCGTATATCGTCTAAGGGTGAAGAGAAGAAGAGATCGACATGTAGTCGGTGCAAGGAAAGTGGTCATACAAGGTTGACATGTGGATCATCAGTGCCATCACAATCATCTTTTCCTCTACCAAAATATGGATCATCATCAAAATCCAAAGCTCATATGGTGTCAAGAAAAAGGCAATCAAAAAGGCAATCATCTTTAAAATCCCAATCACAACCGGCTTCACCTTTTGGGACTGTTAACTTAGGTGATTTTTAAATGCAAATGTTGTATTATATGGATTTTATGTGTGAACTTTTAACATTTTCAGTTAGGCATGTATTAGTAACTTGAGTTTGAAAATTGCTATGATCTGTTCAGTTGTTATCACTTAATAGGCAATCATCTTAATGTCTATCGCAACGCGGAAATTACTATCGCAATGCGAAATGAAAATCGCAACGAGAGAATCGCAATGCGAAATGAAAATCGCAACGCGGATTTCGCAATGCAAAATGAAAATCGCAACGAGGGAATCGCAATGCGAAATGAAAATCGCAACGCGAATTTAATTTCGCGTTGCGATTATCTCGTTGCGATTTTCATTTCGCGTTGCGATTTTCATTTCGCATTGCGATAGTACTTTTTGCTTTCAACATAATGCAAATTGAAATCAACAAAATCAACCATTACATTTCAATCAATTAAACAAGCACAAATAAGAATTATGTTAACATTAATTAAACAAATCAACTTTTACAAATCACCTTTTACAAATCAATTAAACAATCAAAAAATAAGCAATAATTCTTAGAGAAAATAACACTTCTACTATTGAATCAACTTTTGCAACCATACATCATTTTCACGCAGCTCACTTCTGAGATTAACCTGCATAAACCAAACATTTGCTCAAACAACACTTTCTACACATCTAAAACCTACAAGCAGCAAATTATTGAATTCTAGGTACTTAACCAAACATTTTCAAACCACAAGCCTATAAACATACCAATTGTTTATGGATATTTTTATAACGCGGATGCAGGTAGGCAGCGTCTCGTATATATCGATCTAGCATATAATGTCGAAACCACAAGCCTACTGCAGCTCTATCTATATTGGTGGGAGGTAGATACTTTATACTTCCTGTGATCAAACGGTCCAACGCCAAGCATACGAGAGGACCACAATCCCCTCTGGGTCCATTCGTTTGTTGTGGTGCGGTCTCGTCTCTGCTAACTGTAATATTGAGCTTCTTTGGCTTCTTGTTTCCAGAACGAGTCCAATAATTTATCGCATCCAAGAATTTAGCCAAATAAGAGCTCCATCCCTTAATAATATCTCTTAAATCAGCCAATGATATGTAATTTATCATGCTGTCATATACTATTGCCTTAAGGGATGGGATCTGAAGCTCGACGAGAAGCCAATGGTAACGTTCCAAAACAGGGATAAACACCTGCAATCATAAGTAATAATTCATTCATTTGCGCACTTATTTATGAATACCTTTAAACTCAATCTAAAATAAACACTAACCTTATCGACCTCCCACCATGCAGGATAAAGTTTAGCTTGCCCATTGCCCAACGCAAATGATTCATCTCGTTGATTCTTCAAGTGAACGGCGTTAAAAGACGTCGGCATAATTGTATATCGTGTATTTCTTTTATTTTCCTTAAGTTTCCTAATTATTAGAAGACGTGACACCCACGCATCGATATGCTGTTTTACAAAAAAAGACATATATTAGTAACTTACATAAATTTAAAAAAAATAATCAAATTAAAATATAAGAAAAATATAAGACTTACCCCTCCATCGAAATAGCCATTGTCTTCGACCCCTAATAATACGCCCCACCAAGACCTATCAAGCAACAAATAGATATCATCGTTGAGCTTGCATATGTCAGTGAAACACCCCTGGCTTCGCTCATGTAGATAAAAATCAACTGTGGTCTTAGCCCAAAGGGTGTTATCCAGAATTGTGTCCGGTAGTTGTTTCCTCTCCACTTCAGATACCGGTATGGTACTGGCCGGTAACTCATACGAGAGCCAACTTGAATCCATCATGTCCAGCACGTCAGAGGGTTTCTCAAGAATCCTACATATGACGCCATGTGAATCGGGCTCTTGAATGGTGGGAGGGACCTTTTCAACGATGACAGTGGCCTCTTGAACGGTGGGAGGGGACTCTCGAGGAATGATAGGGGCCTATTCAACGATAGGAGTGGACTCTTGAGGGATGACAGGCGAGTCGGGCTTCTTCTTGCGGTGTCTTCGCACTATTGGGGTATACGGAGACTTAATAGCACATGCACGCCGTCTGATGCGTGAACTCTGTCGTGCAAGAAAAACCCGACATAAAGCATCCACCTTATCGGTCCGCTAAATAATTAAATAAAAATATCAGTAAATAAACAGACATGATATTTAAATAGTGAAAACAAAGACAAATATATTTCAAACTTTCAACCAAAAGACAAAACAAAGACAAATACTAACTTCACAATGTTAAAGAATACACAGTTTAGCAGAATTGGCAGCAACCGAATAAATTTACTTCAACCAAAAGACAAAACAAAAAGACAAATACTAACTTCACAGTGTTAATAAACAGTTTAGCAGTATTGACATCAACCAAATAAATTTACTAAGCAATCTAAGTGAAATGGTTAATTTAAGTGAAATTACGAGTAAATTTATCATCAAGTTAAATATGGAAAATCTTAAACTTACCTCGTTGTGTAGAGTATGAACCTCATTCTACAACGATACTACCATCTCACGTAGAGCGGCAACCTCACCACGTAAAGTAGACACCTCCACATGCCATGCACCATCGTTATCGCGTAGAGTACCGATCTCCTCACGCAAGGCATTGACCTCATCACGTAACTCCCTTGACTCATCCCGTGGAGGTGGAGAACAGGGAGATAGAAGTCGTGGCATCTTTGCCGGTCACCTATCATGAGGTGATGGTGGAGAAGAGGCTCGATGATGTGACGGGATAGGTGATGGCTCTCGTTGTAGAGGTGTATAGTCGGGTCGATCAGGTGATGGCTCTGGGTGAGGTGATGGCTCTCGAAGTGGAGGAAGTGGAGGCTGCTCATCATTCGTGCCATCAAGAAAACGCTGACTAGCTTGCCACCAATCAGTGGCAAGCTCAGCCTCTGTGGGTGTCAGTCTCATTAATGGAATGTTGGCCTCCTAAAAATATAAAAACTCAAACAAAGTTCAACGTCTACTATTAATAACTTGTTTATATATGATAGTATTTGTGTTAACTTACATTATTTATTGTCGCATATGGTATTAAGTCTTCCCAATCCAACAGACGTTTCCTCTTCCAGGAAATAGCCCTGGGAATATCATTTGAAGTTTTTATTGCATATGTCTTCATGGCGGAAAGGCCTCGAATATCCAAATATACAAACAATATAATAACAAACATTAGTAATTGTTAAATAATTAATTATAATTTTGAAAACATTATATAGAAATTCTTACCTTAAAGGCCCAAACAAAGCCTGACAAAGTGTATTTCGACCCATCGCCCCGCAAACTTTTGCGGTCATCAAACGCAGACGACAACTTAGTCCAGGTAGCTTTCCATATATACGAATCCACGGAAACAGATTCCATGCATTTAGGTCCTCTACCAATAATATTAGCTCCTGAGGAATAGGTTGTCTGGCCTCTCTGCCTAAAAAGCCGGCATACAAAAGTAGTAGAAGGCATACTCGGACAACATCGACGTCATTCATCCGAGTAAAATCATCTTTCTTATTAAACAATTTCTTCATGTCGTCGACATGTAAGTTCGGCTTCTCTATTGACTCATCAGGAAAAACCCTGGATAACCATGATGGGCGGGTGATATGATGAGTGTACCGGCCTACATCATCGTGTCCGAATCGTAGACCAGTGATTAAGCAGAACTCATTCCGCCCAAAACAAGTATACGCCGGTGGAAAATGAAACCATATCTCTTCCTCACCACGTTGTATACTGTCGGGTAGATCGCTAGTCATGGTCTGAAGTCACAAATGGGTCAAATTAGCATCTCCACCCGGATGTTGTACTCTCAGCCATGGCCCGAAGCAGGTTTCCTCAAACAATTTTCTTTGTGCAGGTGAAAGCTTCGAAGCAATTGTAGTGGCTAGGCTAACTTTATTCCTTAATGTCAATGAAGCCGAAAAAAATTTCTACAAAAACAATAAACATACCAAGTTAGATATACCAAAAACTACACTGTCAAGATATACCAAAAACAATAAACATAAATAGTAGTTTATTCTTGAAACTAAAATTTGCAACACTGTTTTGTCTTTTGGTTGAAATGAAAATCGCAACGAGATAATGATAATCGCAACGCGGAAATGACTATCGCAACGAGAGAATCGCAACGCGAAATGACTATCGCAATGCGATTTTGGTTTCGCGTTGCGATTTTTATTTCGCGTTGCGATAGTTATTTCCGCGTTGCGATTTTCATTCTCGAAACTATTCTTCTTCTGCATTACTTCAACCAAAAGACAAAACAAAGACAAATACTAACTTCACAGGCTAAACAGTTTAGCAGTATTGGCAGCAATCGAATGAATTTAATAAGAAATCTAAGTAAAATGGTTAATCTATTATTGAAATTACCAGTAAACTTATCATCAATCTCAATATGAAAAACCTAAAATAATGCAAAAATTTCAAAATAAAAATAAAACAAAACTAACCCTCGGAGGTTGATTTTCCATTTCTGAATAATTGTGAGGGATTTTTGACTGTGAATGGTTGTGAGGGATTTCGCCGGCGATGGGGACGGAAATCTTCGGAGATGGGGACGGATTTCGCCGTAGAGAGTGAGAGATGGAGATGGGACTGAGTGTTGTGATTTTAGGTTTGAGGTTATGAGTTGCGATTACTGTGGACGGTTCAGTTTCCGATTTATTAAGAAAAAATTCGTGTTTGGAATTTGAAAAAAAAATACGCATTAATACGAATGGCGCTATGTAAATCGCATTGCGATAGTAAGATTCGCATTGCGATTTACGTATTCGCGTTGCGATTTTCCTAATTCGCATTGCGAATTATGAAAATCGCAACGCGAATACGTAAATCGCAATGCGAATTAGGAAAATTGCATTGCGATAGTCAGTATCGCATTGCGATTTTTCAAATTCGCATTGCGATTTACTTATTCGCATTGCGAATTGGGAAAATCACAACGCGAAATTGGAAAATCGCATTGCGATAGTCATAATCGCGTTGTGAATTTGAAAACTGATTTGCGATAATGGAGATCGCGTTGCGAATTAGCGATCGCATTGCGATTTTATTGGTCATTTTGGCAAATCTGGAAAAAGTTGGTTAAAATCATATATTATATGAGATTTTTTGTCACTGGGGTTATTTTCTCAAAATATTATAGTTTAGGCACTTTTTGTATTAAATCTTAATAGTTTAATAGATTAAATGCGTTTTACGTTAATGAAGAAATTGACTTGTTTTTTTATATAAAGATTTTTATTTTAGAATATAATTTTTTTTAATAATTTTGTAAAAAAAAATAAATAGTTAAAAATATAATATAAACAATTCACTAAAATTTTATTGAAAAACAAATAAATTAAAATTTGGGTAAACTACATGTTTAATAATTAAATTGTTACTTTTGTTCCACTTTGGTATCCAAACTTTATTTTTTTTCAAAAACATACCTAATGTTTATTTATATTTTATTTTGGTACCCTCCGTTAAAAAATTAATGACAATGTTGATATGTCAACATAAGATAATACCACATCATCATTAAAAATAAAAAATACCACATCAATAGTTATGTTAATTTTTTAACTGTAGAGTACCCAAACTGAAACATAAATTAAATATTAAGTATGATTTAGAAAAAATAAAACTTATGTACCAAAACAGAATAAAAGTAATAGTTTTAGGTTCTAAAAGTATAGTTTATCCATAAAAGTTTGGAGTGAAAAGTAATTTAGAAGCAATATTTGAGATGCCAACTCATTTTAGCCACGTAACCCAACACGCTAAATGAGAAAAAAAAACCTACATGGCTTTCATCCAGCACTTTTTGGACTCTCTCTTTCTCTTCTCCTCCTTGTCGCAATACAAATGTTAACAGCATAAAACCCTCATCTCTTCCTCCTCGCACTACCTCTCATTTTTCTCAAATTTGCACACCAAATATTTCCACAAATTCAAACAAACGGATGGGATTACAGGGCCGGCTAAACGACGTCTCATCGAATTCAATCCCGCTTCTCATCCTTGCACTGATCGCCCACTGCTTCGCCTATCTCCGAAACCTCCTTTTCGATCGTTTCCGTTTCACCGACCGGACCGTTACTACTGAATTCCACGGGACGGAAGTCGTAGGCTGGGGCCTGGCCAGCCTCGTCGTATTGGCGGAGCAGCTCAACTTGAACAAGGTTTTGTCGTACAGATACGATTGCGGCGGAGGGGTTTGTGATTGTGTGGTGTGTTTGTGTAGGCTAAGAGATGGGGATCAGGTGAGGGAACTCGATTGTTGCCACGTGTTTCATAAGGAGTGCTTTGATGGTTGGCTTCATCATTTCTATTTTAACTGTCCGCTTTGTCGGTCTCCTCTCAAAATCGATCGGCGAGTTGAGTTCACGCGGAAGTGTGTCGGCGGTGAGTTGCTTGACTGGTTTTCTTTGCGCTGATTTGGATCGGTGAGGCCGCCGGTCATGATTTTGGTGATTTAAGAATTTTTAGAACTTTCCCCCAATTCAAACAAATTATATATTTGTTCCCTATTTCTTTAAAGCTCTGTGGCTTGATATTGGGTTTTCTTTTTCACTTGTAAAAGCTTATGCTTCTCATCTCTTCCAGTCTTTTATTTGTTTCATCTTCTAACAATACGTTTGGAGTATGAGATTATTTCTCAGTCGTATTATTTCTGAAGTTTATGGGTAAAAAAAATATGATAAATATTGTTTCCTTTTAATCATAATAAAAATATATTTTAAGTTTAGAGTAATTCAATTAATGTTTTCTTTTATATCTTATTTAAAGACGTCGTATATTAAACACACCGATGAATATTATTAATTAAATTGTCCTTATTACATAATTATAAAAAAAATTTAATGATCTATCCATAATTAATTCTTTATTATTATTCAGTTTAAATTTTAATATGAATATAATTAAATTATATCTTTTATTAAAAATTATAATTATTTTTTTAAAAAATTTTGTTTATAATTGGAACACTTAATTTATATAAATTTACATATTCATCCCAACAATAATTATCAGAATCAACTTTTGGTGGTCATATTCATCGCCGGAAGATCATGTTCTTCAACCCTAGCTTTAAATTCTCGTTTGCTGATTTTTAGTTGCTTTACAACCATCTCTCTTTCATCTTGTAAACAACCTTTATAAGCAACCCCAAATTCACCTTAACCCTATAACATCCCAAACTATGGGTTAGTGACTAAATTGTAAAATTTTAGAATTTAGTGATTAAAGTAGAATAATTGAATAGTTCAATGATTTATTTGGGAATATTTTCGGAAAATTATTAGTAATTATCAAATGAATTAAAGGGCAAAATGATTATTTGACAAGAAATGTATTTTCCCCTTTTATATGAAAGATTCACGTGGAGTGGGGGAAGTTATCTACAAACTCTTCTCCATTCTTCTTCCTTCTCCCGTGAAGTGAAGGCTCCAAGGTAAAGGTGAGTTTTCTGGTTAATCAATTATTTGTTGATTTTATGAGTTAGTTTTGATCATTAGATGATAACTAAGCTTAAGGAAAGCTTAAGTTATCTTAAAATCAAAAGATGAAGAAGTTATGAAAGATTAAAGAGAAGGAGTTTCTAAATGAATTTCCGGAAAAGAGACATAAGTTGAATTTGAAGTTAAATTTGACTTGTCATCAGTTTAATTAAGAGGTATGAAGTGATAGAATTGAAATTAGAACATATTGAAAATTTGGGTATGATTCTTGAAGTTAATAAAGATGAGAGGATTTTGAGGTTTAAGATGAGATAAATGAGTAGAAATTGGTTTAACTATGTATATTTGAGTTAAGAATATGAATGTGAATGAAACATGAAGAATTTAAGTTGATATAGTGAATTTTCGTAGTTGAACAGTGATTTTCTGGGATTGAACGAAAAATTACAGATTATGCAGGGGGTACAGATTCCCCCCTAGGGGGTATCGATTCCCCCTAATGGAAAAATTAGAATTTTGGTTCATTAAACTAGCTTAAGTTATTAACATCAAGTTTAAGGTTTAGGCTTCTGATAATTGTTTTGAAATGTTATATTTATGTAGATATTGAGCCTAAACAAGTACCGGAACAATCAAAGAATTAGGATTGAATCAAAGCAAGGCTAAGGTGAGTGCAATTTAATTTGTGCTTATGTTATAGAACGAACAGTGGCTCGCGATGAGCCAGTGATGAAGTTATCATGGTAAGAAGTAACTCTTAAAATGTTATGGTATGTGACATGATTATATATATGAACATAAGTAAACAAGACAGGGCATAAGTACTTAAATAAGAACATGAGAAATAAAATAAGCTGTGTGATAAGGATACAGAGAATGAAATGAATGACATGAAAGGTATGTATGTTTGATTATATGAGTGATATATGTGATGTATTGGAAATATATGAGAACAATAGATGACATGATTTGTATGATGTATGAATTCATGAGTAAAGGCATATGTGAATATAGTTTGTATGCATTATATATCATGTTAACATAAGAGGATAGAGCATGTTATATGATATAAGAATAATACATGTATCAAATGATATATATGTTTATGTGAATTCATGCAACGTGATACGAGCTATGTGACATATGAATATGAAATCATATGATAAGTGATATGAATTATATGAAAATAAACTACATGATGATATGCATATGTGATATGAGATATATGTTTACACATACATATGATATGTGACAGAAGAGAAAGAAATATGTGATCATATGAAATGTGATAAAGAGCTATGTGAAAGAACAAGTGATATGAAATGTATAAATGATAATGCCCATGTTATGTGATATGAGAGCTAGTGGTATAGTTGGCATACCAAGAGTCGAGGGTTACCTATGTTCTAAGGAACATATGGACAGTTTACCTAGGTTCTTCGGGACCTATGGACAGTTACCGAGGTTCTTTATGACCTCTGGATAGGTCATTCGGGACAAATTTCATATGCCACTTAGTGGGACTTATACGAGCTGTGGTGACAGCAATAGTACACAACCTCAATGTACTCGAATACCTTGAGTTCTCAATAATGTACATGGGCCTATAAAAGATATCAAAAGTATTTGCATTATTATATGATATCGTGCTATTATTGTTTACACTGAATTATTTGTGTACATGAGCTAACAAAGAGATAATGATCACTACAATATATGTTGTGTATATGCTTTTGGTGATATGAGATGTTTCACAAGAATTATATGATGTTATATGGTACACAGAAAAGATAAGTACAAGATCATGATAATGAGGTTGTTGTGGATAATGATGGTATATATGCATGTATGCATTTTGTTATATGAAATGTTTATAGTTTTATTATATGTTTTATATGTCTCACTAAGTCAACGACTTAGCGTGTGATTGTTTCACGCGTAGGTTCCGAGAAGAGAAAGAATGATAAAAGTTAAGCAAGACAGGTCAGTTTCTCCTTTCCAAAGATCAAATCAGAAAAGAAATATATAGTATGTATTTTGTAATAAGGATAGTGGTTGGAGTGTAAATAAAGGATTAAATCCGATATGTTCTAATTGGTTTTGAAAAGTCATACGATTGAGTTTTGTAAAGTTTTAAATGCGTATATGTAATTGATAAATTTTATATGGATGAAAGCTTAAGTTTTTATGAAGTTATACGTATTTTACTAAAGTATTGTAGCAGTACTATAGCAGGGTATCGGTTCCCTATAGCAGGGGAATCGGTTCCCCTCTGACATTTTGGAAAATTTTAACATTCATGTACTGTTTACGGTATTATTCATTACTGTTCATACCGTATTTTATTGTTCATAAAATGTATATTTTCTTAAATTGGTTATAACAAACATGATTCAACAATATATTATCTTATTTTCTTAAAAAGAGTTCAAATGTTTTGATATTTTGTAAGAATATCATTTTTAAAAGTTAATGTGACATCTCAGACTCGTATTCGGGTCGGATACGGGTTGAGGTGTTACAAACCCAAAAGATTATGATCTAAAAAAATATTCGTAGACTCAGTTAATTCTTCATATATAAATAATGACTTTAAATTGCCTAAACCACTGGGTTTTATCATCATTGGTGGTGAATGCAAAAAATTACTTTCAAAACTAGTTCCAATGAGAAGAGTTGAAGATTGTATCTTTATATAGGATGAATCTATAAGCATGTAACATTGATCAAAATAGAAACTCCAATTATATATAAATAAAAAATTATCAATAATTCCTTAAGTAACTTAATAAACTGTTATGCCGGTGTGGAAAATTTTACATGATCTTCGAAAGAGCCTAGTGGGATGGCATTACATAACCACATGTGAGTAACACAATTTTTCGATGACGAATAGAAAAGTTGGCGGTTAGTTTGATGGTTGTTATTGTGATGAATATGTGAACTTATATAAATTAAGTGTTCCAATCTTAAACAAATAAAAAATCCTATAATTATTGTAATTTTTAATAAAATATAAATTAATTATATTCTTATTAAAATTAAATTAAATAATAATAAAGGATTAATTGTGGATGGATCATTATATTTTTTAATATTTATTTAATAAAGACAATTTAATTAGTAGTGTGCATCGATGTGTCACACTAATAATAAATTTCGATGTGTAACATATACTCTAGACTCATCCATAAGTTAAATTGTCTATTTAAGTTCACTCTAATATGATAAATATAATTATTAAGAAGAAGAGTTTTTAATTCGATTACAATCATTAAATATTTTTTTTATTTCATTCACTAAACTGTTTAAAAGCATTAACAATAGTTGACATGAATACATTCATATATCAATAATAATTGAATCAGTATGCTCCCATATTATTTTCTTTAATAAATTAATATGGTTATTTTCTTTAATAAATTAATATAATCTAATAATATAGTGACATATAATCTTATTAGTAAGAAAATATTGAAAATATAAAAAAAATAGTCTTACACCTTGTCGTAACCGTCTTTTGTTTAGGCCCTGGAATTGAGTTTCGACTTGAAAAATGTGGATTGGAATATCCACCGACCATTTTAAAACGAATTTAGGTGGGTCGGACACCATCTTACCTGATCTGCGTTTTTACCAGAAATGTGTCGGGTTCGGGAGTCGGTTACGGTCAAGGAAGGATTAGCACCCTTGAACCGCCCTTTCGGTACCAATTAATTTGACATTTGTCTTAGTTGCGAAAATTCAAAATTTAAATTAAAATTTAACAGACCCGATTCAAATTACTTACAATTAATTGATTTGAATACCCTTAAAAGATAAAAATGTTAGATTCGTAGTGGAGTATAAAATCGAATTAGGATAGCAAGTGTGCAAACGTGAGAATAATAAATAAAACAAGAAAAAATGGAAAATAACAAAAGACGTAAAAAATAATAAAAAAATAATAAAAATAAACAAAATGAATAAAATGTTAAAAAATAATATATATAAAAACGTATAAAATATAATATTAATAAAAT